AAATGACCCTGGAGTTTGGGCCACCATGCCGGACTAAGAACCAGGTCGCCACGCCTTGAAAAGGCAACATCTGGTGCTGAAACCCGGGACACGATCGCCGCCCGGGGTTCGGGGATGGCCTGGACGAGGGACCGGCGGCTGCACAGCTGGCCTAGTGCAGCGGGGGGGACGCCCCCGGACCAATGAGGAGCATGGACTCTATCGCGAAGGTCGTAAGTCAAATCCACGCGCAGTGGGGTATCGAGTGTAAGCTTAAGCTTTTATGTCTCGCAGTACCGAGACTGATTAAGCTTGGGGCTAGAGAAAGCCTGGTAGAAATTCTCCATCCGGAGATATGGGATAATTGCACAAACGCTCTGGCCAAGGAAACCATGTCCTCAGGCTCAGGGAAAGCCCTCAAATCGTGGGGCAGATTTATCCAGGCTCTGCAAAAAGGTTTGAGCAAGAAACCTGGAAAGTCACTCGAACTTGTCTATTAGCCACGCCGCAGTTGGGGGTAGGGGCAGCACCGCGAACCGCGGAGGACTTTGACCCGGTCAGGTGCGCAGAGGTGCGAACGCCGGAATCCCCTCAGCGAACGGACTCACCATCGGAAGGACGGGGGGCGCGCGCGGGCGTTTTGGCAGGAGCTAGCAGAGGAGGCGCGGAATGCTGCTATAATATCAGACCCCGAAGCAGTTGATAAAAAGGCACCCCTGCCACATGCGTTTAAAAATGGCACTGGAGCGCGTGACCAGGGCTGGAATGATGATGTGGGGGGAGGAAATGCAGAAGGCTTGCTGAACAGTGCAAGCGTGGGCGAGCGGGGAGGAGGGGCGGCCCCTGAGAAGGAACTTAAGACCAATCAAAGTGCTCAATTTAAATTAGGTCCTTATAGGGCAAGAACCTCCCCCAGCAGGAGGCGGGGGGAGCCCAGGGGGAGGCAACGGCCCGACCCACCCAAGAAGGGGCGGGGCTGGAGCCCGAGAAAACGGCTGAGCAGCCTGGAAATGTCCGGCCAGTCAACTTCCGACTCGGACTCTGACTCGAGCTGGGACAGGCTCGGAAGGTGCTCGGAGGATTCCGACACTGACTCGGACTTTAACAAAAAGGGAGCAGCGGCATACAAGATCACCAGCTGCAGCGCTCCTGTGTGGGTTAAGGGGATATCAGAGAAAGATCGAACCCCGCTTACAGACTGGCGGAAAATAAAAATGGCTTGCGAAAAGTGGGCTCCGTCTGCCACACTGGTTTTCCCGGTCTGTGTGGGGGGGACAGGTGGAAATCAAAGAACCTACTCCCCGGTAAACCCGAAAGATGTGCAGGCAATTGTTAAAGCGGTTGCAGACAGGGGGATTAATTCTGCCATGGTTTCCACACTCATTGACAGCATTTTTGGAGGCAATGATATGCTTCCCTTTGATATCAAACAGACTTGCAGGCGGATTTTCGATGGGGCGGGAATGATCGTATTTAAACAGGAATGGGAGGACAACTGTGTAAAGCAACTAGCCTTAGTAACAGGGGCAGACCATCCACTGCACGGCTCCAGCATACAGAGGCTAATGGGCACAGACCCCACTATGATCACCCCCCAGGCGCAGGCTGAGGGCCTGCGGGCCCATGAGGTTATGACATGGACCTGTGCTGCCCAAGAAGCCATCCGTGTTGCTTCCAAAGTAATAGCCAGACCATCGGCATGGTCCACTATAAAGCAGAGTGAGAGTGAGAGCTTCACTCAGTTTGTGGACCGCCTTCAGGCAGCATTAGATTCCTCTGCATTACCCTCAGAGGCGAAGGGTCCTGTGCTGGCAGAGTGCCTACGCCAGCAATGCAACTCAGTCACCAAGGACATTTTAAGATCACTGCCACCTAAGTCCAATGTTGCTGCCATGATCAGACATGTTGCAAAGGAAGAACACCTAGCTCCCATCCAAGCAGCAGTTGGCACTGCAATAACCAGTGTGATGGCATGCTTTAAATGTGGCCAGGCAGGCCACTAGCAGTAAACTGCCCCCAGTCAGGATGCCCCCGCAACCCATACGCCCCACTACCAGGAAAGAGAGAGAGACCACCGAGCAACCCGACATCACCTGAGAAGCTCGCACCATCAAAATCAAAGCAGCAATGGTATCTCTGTGTGATCTTGTTTCTAGGGTTAGCAGGCGGAGGACAGGCAGACACAAAACATTACCCTCACCAGCCATTCAGGTGGGTTCTACGCCATCTCTCAGTTGAGGGGGTCATCAAAGAAATTGTTACAGCCGACACCCCATCTTTTGAGTTCAGGCTAAAAGACATTTTTCCCTTGCATACAGGGCACCCCAAATTTGAGGAGACGACATTATTTCAGACCTACTGGTGCCCTGCTTCCAACCCAGGAAAAAGTTACTGTAATTACCCAGGGTGTGGATATTGTGGATATTGGGGGTGTGAAACTATTGTGACAAGCAATAGATGGAAACCACAACAGCCTGATAAGTTCCTGCAAATTAAGTATACTCCCCACAGCTGTCTGGAACCAAAATTTGGTATGGATGGGTACATGATTTTGCCCCAAGGCAGGAAACAGCACACCTGCACAGGCTACATAATGACTATCCTGCAACCGACCCATGATGGCTGGGCCACGGGCAAAGTGTGGACAGCGTTTGTTTATCTCTCTCACCGCATCTGGGCGAACATAGAAATTATCAGATCCCCACCTCCAATATCCCAATCAGTCGGACCCAATCCGATTCTTGCAATGAGTAGACCCAGGAAGGGGATCACAGCTAACGGTAGTTCTAGCCACAAAACACAGATGCTAAAACTTACCTCCTCCCCATCCGATCTCTTAGCCAAACCAACCCTCTCCAATCCATTCTTAAGCGTGTTAAATGCTACCTTCTTATCATTAAACCAATCCAACCCGAACCTCACAGAGTCATGCTGGTTATGCTATGATGCACAACCCCCTTTTTACGAAGGTGTTGCCCTCGATCTCCCATTCATCTTCTCAAAGTCAGACAATCCATGCCAATGCAGATGGGACACCCCCCGGAGAGGCATTACCCTGAGTCAGGTTACGGGCCAAGGCAAATGCTTTGGCAAAGCAACCTTGGCAAAGCAGATGGGCAACGTCTGCCAGGAATTCGTCAAACTTAAGGGAGGGAAGTTCCAGTGGGTGATCCCAGCTGCATTGGGAATGTGGGTCTGTCAACGATCCGGGGTAAGCCCATGTGTACTCCTTGACAAATTCAATCATTCTACTGACTTTTGTGTCCAAGTTTTAATTGTCCCCAGAGTCCTGTATTGCCAGGAAGAAGAGGTGTACCGCTTGTTCGAGGAACCCGACCGGCTCCACAAACGAGAAGTGATAACAGGCATCACCATCGCAATGCTCCTCGGTTTAGGAGCTACCGATGCTGCCACAGGCATCTCGGCCCTTGCAACACAACTCAGGGACTGGCACAACTGCAGATGACTGTCGATGAGGACTTGCAGAGGATCGAGAAATCCATCTCTTCCCTAGAAAAATCCCTTTCCTCGCTCTCAGAGGTTGTCCTCCAAAACAGGTGAGGACTGGACCTTTTGTTCATGCAGCAAGTAGGCCTGTGTGCTGCCTTGAAAGAGGAATGCTGCTTTTATGCGGAGCACACCGGAGTCATTAGAGACTCCATGGCCAAACTGAGAAACTGACTAAACCTAAGAAAAATGGACAGAGAAGCTCAACAGGGCTGGTTCTAGTCATGGTTCAACCGGTCCCCATGGCTCACCACCCTGATTTCTACCCTAATAGGCCCACTCACTATAATCTTACTAACCCTAATCTTCTGGCCTTGCATATTAAACAAACTGGTGCCATTCGTTAAAAAGCGTTTAGAAACTGTTAACATTATGTTTGTTGAGCGCCGACAATTACTTTAAGGCGTGCCAGTTACTAACACACTTACAATTTTATACTAATTTTGCTAACCCATGAAATTTTGTAACCTCTACATTTTATAATTTTATACGATTTTTACTAATCATGAGGGAGGAGGAAATGTGGAGAGTCAGGGATCTGCGTGCGGAAGAAATTGGGCTGTACAGTCAGTCAGGACATCCCCCCCTGCAGTCAGACCTTTGCTCTGTACCTGGCCGCACCCAGCCGGATGTGAGCAGAAGGAAATGACCCTGACTGCCCAAGCTATAAAAACCCTTGTGACTCCTCAATAAACGCCATTTACTGTCCACCACGTTGGTGTCAGGAGCATATGGACTGAGGGACCCTGGGGTTTGGGCCACCGTGCCGGACTAAGAACCAGGTCGCCACGCCTTGAAAAGGCAACAGGCACAGGACATGATATCCAGCATAAACAGAACACACAGATGGGGATACAAACATCCTAACGTCATCTTAGGACGTTAACATGTGGTGACAGGCACTGACACCCCCAATTTGGGCTCTGCAGCCCCAAATTGGGACCCCCCCCAATCTGGGATACCCCACCAAATTGGATGCTGGTGCCTTAAAATTGAGTGTTGAGCCCCTAAATAGGCGATGACCGCCCTAAAATAGAGTGGTGACCCTCCTAAATTGTGAGTTAACCCCTTCAGTTGGGTGCTGACCCTGCCAAAGTGGGGTGCTCATTTTCCAAATTGGGTTCTGATCCTGCAGACTTGACTGTTGGTCCCCCAAAATTGGGTGCTGACCCTCAAACTTATGGTCTGATGGCCAAAAATGGATGTTGACCTCTAAGACCTGGGATCTTAAGGTCCTGATCTCCTATGTTTAGCTTCTGATCCATAAAATTGTGTGCTTAACCCCCCCAAAATTGGTACTGACACTTTAAATTGGGTGTAAAATCCCTAAATTTTTCCCCAAACCCCTAAAATTGGGTCCTGACCTCTCTAAATTGTCTCCTGCCCAAATCGTGTCCTGCCTTTCCAAAATTAGATCCCCGCTCTGTAGACCAGGTCCTGCCCCTCACAAATCAGGGTCCACCTGTGTCAGTGGTCACATCCTGGTGACACAGCCTCGGTGACACCCAGGGGAGATGGCAGGACCGTACACCACTGGGAAGGTGCTGGATGCCATCGGGAGTGGGGATAGAGTCACTGGAGCTCTATTGGGATGGTGGCGGCTGCTGGAGCCACAAGGTGGGTTGCAGCATTCCCAGGGCCTGTCCCCATGTCCCCAGCGTCCCTGATGTCACTGTGCCCCTGTGTCCCCACAGTGTGCTGTTTTCTGGCTGCCGGGGGTTTCTCTTCATGATGTTGATGGCGCGTCTCTGTCAGAGCCTGAGCCTGCAGCTCTTTTCCCACCTGGTGCACCAAGACCTGGACTTCTTCCAAGGAACACCAGCAGGTAACGGGGCATGGCCCAGCCCCATCCCACCTGACCCATCCCACCTGTCCCATCCCATCCCATCCCATCCCATCCCATCCCATCCCATCAATCCCATCCCATCCCATTGATCATATCCCATCCCATCCCATTGATCCCATCCCATCCCATCCCATCCCATCCCATCCCATTGATCCCATCCCATTGATCCCATTCCATTGATCCCATCCCATCCCATCCCATTCCCACCATCCCATCTGTCCCATCCCATCCCATCCCATCCCATCCCATCCCGTCCCATTGATCCCATCCCATCCCACCACTCTATCCCCATCATTCCCATTCCCACCATCCCATCCCATCCCATCCCATCCCATCCCATCCCATCCCATCCTATGCCATCTTCCTGGCTTCATTCTACTCCAATGTTCCATCCTGTCCCCATCCCACTTTCCCATTCTAGCCGCTGTTCTGTCCCCATTATTCTCACTCCCGTGCCTCCACCCTGTTGCATATCCCCAGCTTCCTCCCAACCATCCCATCGCCCCATCCCACCATTTCCATTCCCACCATCTCATCTCCCCTGTCCCACCCCATTCCACCCTGACCATCTCCACAGCCATTCCCATCATTCCATCCCACTGCTCCCCATTACATCATTCCCATCCTGAATGGGATCATCCAGGATGGGATCATGCATCACTATCCCAACCTCTTTTCCCACCCTGCAGCTGAGCTCCTGGCTCAGTTTTCCATGGAAGTGCCATGGGTGTGCAGGGCAGCACCGAGTGGAGCCAACCAGCTGCTGCGGAGCCTGGTGATGGCCCTGGTGGTGGAGGGGTTCACGGTAGGGCTGGCACTGGGGCTGGCACTGCTGGCACTGCTGGAGGTGCTCCTTGGAATCGCCACTCGCTGCATCCAGAGCACCCACAAACAGGTCAGGAGTAGGAAGGAAAGAGTGGGAGGGGACTGAAGAAAGGTGGGAATAGTGGAGCTGGGATGGGGTCTAGGGGAATGGGATAGTGGGGATGGGATGTGATTGAATGGAGAATGGAAAGGAAGACAATGGAGGTGGAAATGGTGGGATGAAATGGGATAAAGACGAGGGGGATGGGAATCGTGGGGATGGGATGGGATGGAGAATGGAAAGGAGGACGATGGAGGTGGAAATGGTGGGATGAAAGGGGATAAAAACCAGGGGAGTGGGATGGTGGGAGTGCTGACATGAGGATAGAACAAAATGGTGGAGATGGGAATGGTGTGGATGGGAAGAGAAGGATGAGGTAAGGTGGGATGGTAGGGATGAGATGAGACAGTGGGGATGGGGATGGTGGGATTAGGACTGGGAGAATGGATGGGAATGGTGAGAGTGAGAGAGAAGGGTGTGGGATGGCGGAAACGCAATAGTGGGGATACAGTGGGTGTGGTGAGATGGGATGTGGATGGTGGGCCAGGAAGGTGACCTGGGAAAGTTGGAGATCCCCCGTTGCTGCCACAGGCCCTTCAGCGATCCATGCTGGAAGCTTCCACCTGCACAGCTGCGGGGGTACAGGAATCTGTTGCTGCCATCGAGACCATCCGAACCTTTTCAGCAGAGGAGGAGGAGGAGGAGCAGCACAGATGTAACCTGGCCAAGGAGCTGAGGCTGAAGGAGCAGATAGAGCTGGAGCTGGCAATCCTTGTCCTTGTCTACAGGGTCAGGGGGGACTGGGAATGGGAACAGCAGGGAATGGGGATGCCAGGATCAGGGATGAGGACACTGGGAATGGGGGTACTGGGGATGAGGACACTGGGACCAGGAATGGGAAACCAGCGGCTGAGATGGGGGCACTCAGAGCAGAATGGGGCACTAGGAATGGGTACAACAGGACAGGGACATTGGGTTCAGGAGCAGGCATGGCAGGAATGGGAATGGTGACATTAGAAACAGGATGGGGACACTGGGATAAAGGTTGGGAACATCAGTGTGGTGGTGTTTGCGGGTCCCCAGGATGAGAAAAGAGACAAAGTTCTTGACTTCATGTTTCAGAAAGCTGATTTATTATTTTATGATATATATTATATTAAAAGAAAATAATATGCTAAAGAAAGAGAAAGGAGACATTAGAAAGCTAGAAAGGAATGAATAATAAAATCTTGTGACTCACCAGAGAGTCTGACACAGCTGGACCTGTGATTGGTCATCAAGTAAAAACAACCACATGAGACCAAGGAAAGATGCACCTGCTTCATTCCACAGCAGCAGATCATTATTGTTTACATTTCGTTTCTGAGGCCTCTCAGCTTCTCAGGAGAAAAATCCTGGTGAAAAGATTTTTTAGAAAATATGTCTGTGACACATCAGGGTCAGAAATAGGGACATCAAGAGTGAGATGGGGACACCAGAACTGGAATGAGGACACCAGGAACAGAGATGAGGCCACCAGGAACAGAGATAAAGGAGTGGGATGGGGACAGGCAGAATGGGGACACCAAGAGTGGGTTGGGGGCAGATGGAATGGGGACACCAGGAGTGGATTTGGGGCAGATGAAATGGGGACACCAGGAGTGGGTTGGGGGCAGCAATATCCCTACAGGTGATCAAACTGGCCATCCGGGTCATGGTGCTCTTCAGGAGCCACCAGCAGCTCCCTGTCGGATCCATCACTCTTGGGGTCCTCGTCACCTTCCTGCTGTAACCAGGACAGAGTTGGTAGCCATGTCCAGGTGATCCCATGGAATGCTTGTGTCTGTCCGTCTAACCGTGCTTCTGTCCATCCCGGTGCCACCCCCTTCCTTCTCCCCAGGTGCTGCTCTACGGCTTCAATGAATTCCTGACCAACGCAGCTGCTGGACAGAGGATCTGGGAATACCTGGATTGGAAATCCACAGGGAATGTCGGGGGGACATGGGAGCCCCCCTGAGCTTCGGGCCACGTCACTTTCCAGAAGGTCTCCTTCACATATCCTGGAAATCCAGAGCGCCCTGTGCTGAAGGTGGGTCTGGGGGGAGGTGGGATTTCCCGGGGGTGGGAATTCTGGCATCACCTGCTGTCACAATCCATCCTTATGAACGGGTTTCTTGATAGTTCATGGATTGATCTCAGAGTGCAAAAAAACCGACACGGCACAGGGGGTTTTGCAGTAATAAAACAAATGCAGCTTTATTGAATGACCACAACAAAATGCGATAGAGGGATTAATGGAGAGAAAAAGATAGAGAAAGAGAGAGAAAAGAGAGAGAGAGGGAGGGGGATATAGCTACCAAACATAGAGACGAAATCCTTTGGTCCAGTCCAGTTGAGGATCCACCTGTTACATGGGGGAGATCTCAGGGTTGCAGTCCATCTGGACCCCAATTATATTCTTTTTCGATGGGAGAAAGGGAATGGATTTTGCAACTGAATCAAAGGTAGTTTATTGTATCTTCGGGGAGGAAAGAATAGTATTTGGAAAAGGAGTACACACAGTCCATGTTCGGCAGTGGGGCAGTGGGCTTGACCCATTGTTTTTGTGGTCCACTGCTCCCATCTGCAACATCCATCTTGCTTTGATCAGCTTGCGTCCCCCACACACCTCCCCCAGGTTAGGGGTCTCAATCCCAGTCCTTGGAAAGAGTGTGGGGGGGCCTTTTCACCAAGGGGTTTCGTGTCTCGGTCTTTGATGGAGAGGCTTCTTACATCTCAGTCTGTCTGTCACGTAAGTTGTAGGACGAGTGAGGGGTCTTCTGTGGGGGACCACCCAAAACTCAGGAGAAGTCCAGCCAGGCAAAGAGGGGACAGGTTCCGAGGCTACTGTTACAAAAAGGCAAGGTGCCCCCTTCTTCTTTTCATTGGGCTCAGTGTAGCATATAGTAAATACACCTGTGGGCAATGGCTTAGCAATGCTCGCAGGTCTCGGGGCCTTGTTGTCATGTGACTTTATCCTTCAGAACCAGAGATTTTAGACAGTGGGGTCTTCTCTTCAGTGGTCCCCCAATGGCGATCGTGAGGCAGATGAGGAATATTTCAGACAGTCTCTCACTCCTGTCCCCATCCCACAGGATGTGAGCTTCGAGGTGCACTCCGAGGAGGTGACAGTGCTGGTGGGGCCCAATGGCAGCAGGAAGAGTGCGGCCGTGGCGCTGCTGAAGCAGGTGTGGGATCCTGGCAGGGGGGTGGTGCTACTGGATGGGATCCCGCTGCCAGAATATGAACACCAGTACTTGCACCTCAAGGTGGGACAGCAGAGACACTGGGAACGCTGGGCATGGAATGGGGAAAATAGGGACAGGGGTCAGGGGACTATTGTGATGGTGTTCACAGGGGTTTTTGGATGAGGGAAGAGACAAGGATTTGACTCCATGTTTCAGAAGGCTTGATTTATTATTTTATGATATATATTACATTAAAACCATACTAAAAGAGCAGAAGAAAGGATTTCATCAGAAGGCTAGCTAAGAATAGAATAGGAAAGAATGATAACAAAGGCTTGTGGCTCGGCTCTCTGTCTGAGCCAGCTGGGTTGTGATTTGCCATTAATTACAAACATCCAACATGGGCCAATCAAAGATCCACCTGTTGCATTCCACAGCAGCAGATAATCAATGTTTACATTTTGTTCCTGAGGCCTCTCATCTTCTCAGGAGGAAAAATCCTGAGGAAAGGATTTTCCATAAAAGATGTCTGTGACAGAAAATAAAATAGAACTGTGACCACAGGAGCATGGGAGCAGAAATGGGGATACTGGGAAGTGGGATGGGGACATCAGGAATAGAATGGGGACAACAAGAAATGGGATAGGAACATTGGGAAGTGGGATGGGGATGACAGGAATGGGAATGGGAAATGTGAGAAGTCAGGGGTGGGGACACTGGGGACACAGATGTGGAGGATGGGATCAGGGATGGACACTATGGGGACACCAAGGATGTGATGGGGTCATGGAACAGGACTGGGGACACCAGGAGCCAAGACAGCATCACAGGGGTTGATGCTGGGGCAGGTGGTGCTGGTGGAGCAGGATCCCGTCCTGTTTTCTGGAACGATCCGTGAGAACATCCTTCTGGGGCTGGAGTGCTGTGAAGAGTCAGAGCTGTGGGAGGCTGCCACTGCTGCTGGAGCCATGGACCTCATCCAGGGGCTGGAGCAGGGCTGGGACACTGGTGAGAGCCAGGGGGATGGGGCACCCCTAGGGCACATCCCCCTGATCCCAGGATCCTCTGTCAGCGATGGGAGAGTGGGGTGGGTGGCAGATGCTGGAGTGTGCGGGGGATCCCTGAGGTCAGATCCCACTGATCCCATGGGGTTGCTCACACAGTGGTGAGGGAGTGTGGGGGCTAGGGGAAAGGGGAGGAACCTCTCATGCTGGGATCCTGCTGATCCCAGGATCCCCCCCCCCAGAGGTGGGGGAGCACAGAGGGTGGGAGAAAAGGGGAGAACTCCAGGGCTGGACCCCACTGATCCCATGTGGTTGCTCCAACAGAGGTGGGAGAGCGCCGGAGGCGGCTGGCGGGAGGGGAGCGGCACCGTGTGGTCCTGGCCCGGGCTCTGCTCCGGCATCCGGCCGTGCTCATACTCAATGAGGCGCTGGATGCTGGAGATGATGGAGCAGCGAGTGGGGTGTGATGGAGGGGGTTGGTCTGGATAGGGGTGCAGTTGGTGAAAATGGGGTGTGATGGTATGGCTGGGATGACTGGAATGGGATGGTGGGATGAGGTGGTGGCAATAAGGGATAATGATTGGCATGGAGTGGGAATGATATGATGAAGACAGGGATTGGATGGGGTGGTGTGGGTCAACAAGGTGGAGAAATAGGACAGGATAGTAGAATGGGATAGAGACCAGGGGTGTAGGATGGCAGGAAAGTAGAATCAAAGGATGAAGACAAGTAGATATGAAGGGGTGGGGTGGGATGGGGTGGGAATGAAAGGGATAGGAATGCTGGGATGAGGACAGAGATGGAATGCAATGGGAAGGGTTGGAGTGGTAGGAGTACGATGGGATGGGACAGTGGGAATGGGGATAGTGTGGGCAGGATGGCATAGTGGGCATGGGGATGGGATGGAGAACAGGGAGGTGGGATGGTAAGAGCAGGATGATGGGATTAGGGTGAGACTGAGAGTGGGGTGGGATTGGTTGGTCAGGACTGGGTGGGATCAGGTGGGACAGGGTAGGACTGAGTTGGATGGGTTGGGATGAGCGTTATCTGAGTTGGATGGGTTGGCATGAGGGTTCTCTGAGCTGGAAGGGTTGGGATGAGCATTCTCTGAGTTGGATGGGTTGGCATGAGGGTTCTCTGAACTGGATGGGTTGGGATGAGCATTCTCTGAGTTGGATGGGTTGGGATGAGCACTCTCTGAGCTTGATGGGTTGGGATGAGCATTCTCTGGCCCCAGGCACAGTGCTGGGTGTGCACTGGGCTGGCCCAGACCGTGCTGGTCGTGTCCCACCGGCCGCGGGTACTGGATGGGGCCGATCGCCTGGTGGTGCTGGAGCGCGGGGCCGTGATGGAGACGGGAACACCAGCGGAGCTGCGGGAACGCCGCGGAGCCTACAGCCACCTGCTCCTTGGAGGAGGCAGCACCTGGCAGCCCGAGGGCCCCGGGACGGGCAGTGAGAAGGGGGCTGCATCTGGCAGGGAATAAAGGGTAATTAGCCCCAGTGTCCCCATTCCCGGTGTTTGTGTCACCAGCCAGCTCCTGGTGTCCCCAGTCACGGTGTCCTGTGAATCCTTCATCCCCACATCCTCAGGATGCCAACTCCCTGTGTCCCCCATGTCCCCACTGTGTCCCCCAGGCCCGCCCATTCCCTGGATGTGTCTGTGTCCCCTGTATCCACCAAGTCCCCATGATCCCTGGTCCCCATGTCTGCTCCTGGACATGGGACACAGGGTGGGAAATCAATCCCAAGGAATGGATCTGGGCATGGGTGTCACGTCCTCATCTCACTCCTGCTGTGCTCACTCCAAGCTCCTGGTGTCCCCAGTCCTTTCCCAGTGTCCCCATCCCCAGTGTCTTTATCCCAGTTCCCAATGTCCCCTTTTCTATTCCTCATTCCCTGAGAGGAAGTGCTGGGCACTGGAGGATGGGACTGAGATTTATTGCCCAAACCAGGGTATCTATACATGAGAAATAAACATTTTGAACAACTGTAATTCTTGTGTTTAAAACATGGCAAAACAGGAATTCAGTCTGTTGGGAAGGGCTGCTGTGTGATGAGTGGGAACAGAGGATGAGCTCTGCCAGCAATTTGTGGCTTTCTGCAGGGAGAGGGAAGGGGTTGGACCTGCACCATGGATCATTCAGCTGGTGATTCCTGCCAGGATGAGAGTAAGAGTTGCTGTCACCCTGTCTCTGTCCCCATCCCATGGGCTGGATCTGGCTGAAGAGCCCACAGAGAGCAAGGATCTCACCAGATCCTGCTGCATCCATTGCACCCCAGTCCTGCTCCACCAACACCACCTGATCTGTTTTGGAATTCCCTCAATCCTGATCTGGAATCCAACTCCAATCCTGCTCCATCCATCCCACATGATCCTGCTCTGGAATCCAGCCCAGATACACTTTAGAATTCTACCTGATCCCGATCTGGAATCATGCCTGGGTCTGGAATCCTGCCCTATATCCCTTCTGGAATCCCGCACAGATTCCCCTCTGTACCTGTGGTCAAGCAATTTGGTTTCTCTGCCTGTTTCTGCAGAATGAGAGGATCGATGAGATTCCATCATGGATCACACAACAGGATTCACCTGCATGGAGATGATCCAGAGCTGGATCTGCCTCTGTGTTAGGTCACATGTGGAGGGTGAGGGGCACAGGAGACAGAGACCACTCACCCTGATGTTCGTGTGGCAAGAGAGGGTTTTGTTTTCCACTTCCTCCTTTATATAGAGCATTTGAGAGGCCTGGTCTGGGTGCTGTCATTGCTTTGAACTCCACACCTCTTTGGGTCCTGGGCCAATGAGATGCCTGCAGGCTTATGAGAGATCAAATTGGCCAAAGCCCTTGTCACTGAGCCCAGGGGCTGGCAAGGTGACGCCAACATCTCACCCTTTCTTTTCTATAAATTTTGATTTGCATTATAGCTGCAGCATTTATGTCCAGGAACTGCTAGGGGAGAGCTCAGGTAAATATGCCCCAGGCATTAGGCTTATAGGTTACAGATTGCAACTTATTTGTAAAAACAACAAACCATTTAAGCCTTGAAGAAAATAAAACAGTCTGTAAGAACAAGAATCATTCAACCCTTATTAAAGGAAAAAAAAAAAACAAATGCAAAAACTAGGAAACAATGTGTAGACAAGCAAAACAGTTTTTAAACAGGGATATAATATGTAAACAGATGAAACTTTATGTGAACTGCAGTCCCAGATTTCTGTGAGGTTGTCATCAATCACTGATCACACGGCTCTGTGTCTGCTGAGGGTTTATCAGGAGGGTGCTGTCAGGATGCAGAGCAGGCTGGATACATCTGGCAGGTACATAATATGTCCCACTGTCTGTTGGAACACATGAATGTCCCCAAGCCCAGGTAATGAGATCTCAGGGACCCGCCCCTTGTATTGGTAAGGAGGTCTCGTGCCATTATCTTGGATTTGGGCAGCTGAACATCACAGGATTGCATTGATAAGGAGTGATTTAGCATAACTGGGTTCTGGGACTTTCCTAATACTGTTAAGTGAGTTAATGTGTATAGAGCTGTAGCTATTCTACTCTGTGGGGTCTCACCACATACCTCCTTTTTGTTTATTAACTATACCTTTTCAAGCACCATGTGCTCTTTCCACTATTGCTTGTCCAGCTGGTAAATGAGGGATGCTGGTTTGGAGTGATACACCCCAGAGCTGTAGAAGTTGCCTGGTTTTCTGTGAAGTGTAGCAGGCCCTTTATCAGTTTTGATGGTTTGAGGAATGCCCAAGGCTGCAAAAGCTGATTGCCAGTGTGCCATGGCATCCAGTCCCCTTTGCCCTGTGTGTACTGTAGCCCATATTGCTGAGGAAAAGGTGCCAATTAAGACATGGGTGTATTTTAAACGGCCAAATTCAGGGATGTGTGTGACATCAATTTGACAGATTTTCAAAGCACACAGTCCATGAGGGTTCACTCTCATCTGCAATGGTGCAGCATGACCTTGATAGCATAGATGCTAACAATATTACAAACCTCTGTGTTTGACAGCTGAAATTGCTGTTGTAAAGCTCAAGCATCTTGGTGGAAAAAACTGTGCAATGTCTTTGTTTGTGGAAGCACATCTGGCTGTGGTGCTGAAAAGGTACCAGAAAAAAGTACCCGGACCGTCTGTAACTCTTTGTTTTTATTGTCTCATATTGTCCTAAATCCTAATTGCCCAAATTTTTATTACTCTAGTAATATTGCTATTTTTATAACCATTTTATTACTATTAAACTTCTAAAGTTTTAAAACCCAAGTGATTGGTGTTTTTCATGCAATGCCTGACACAACGGACAGGGGGGGTCACAGGATGTGAAAAACGCCAATCATGTCACTGCTGTGTCCCGGCGCTGCACCGAGGACATCCCCCTGCGTGATGGCTGTGTCATCCCCAAGGGTATGGCATGGCCAGGGTGTCCCCAGTATCACCACCCACCCTCACTGCTGTCCCTAAAGTGGCCATTCCCATCCCACCAGGGGTCATCTGCCTGATGAGCATCTACAGGACCCACCACAGCCCAGATCTCTGGCCCAAGCCTGAGGTAGAGCCACCCTATGAGGTGTCCCTGTCACCACAGTGGTGACAGCTGTGTTCCCTTGGTGTGACTGTGTCAGTGTCACCCCAGGTGTTCAGTCCTCTGAGGTTCAGTCCAGAGAACAGCAAGGGACGGTCCCCGTCGTCCTTCATCCCCTTCTCTGCTGGCCCCAGGTATGTGGTGGAGTGGGGACAGGAGTGTCCTCAAGTGCCACCCCTGTCCCTGGCTGGGTTCACAGTGGGGTGACAGTGACAGTGGGGATGTGGTGGCAGGAACTGCATCAGGCAGAGCTTTGCCATGGCTGAGATGAAGGTGGTAGTGGCATTGACACTCTCTCGGTTGGTGCTGCGGAGGGACAATGCGGGGCCACCCCTGTGTCGCAAGCCCGAGCTGATCCTGCATGCCGAAGACAGGCTCTGGCTGCTGCTGGAGCCACTGGTGGGAGTGGCCTGATGGACACGGGTCACCAGGACATGAGGACATCCCACAAGGCGGGTGTCACAGCCAGGGGAGGAGCAGGGAATAAATGGTAGCATGAAAGGGACAGTATCATGGTGGTGGTGGGGATGTGTTGTCCTTGGCCATGGGACACTCCATTGCATGGCCATGTCAACCCATGGACTTGTCCCCTAGGCCACTTTTGTCACCATCCATGGCCATGTCCCCCATGTCCTCATACATGGCCATACATCCCCATGTCACCATCTCTATCTGTGACACACCCCCCCCATGCCCTATATCGCCATCCACAGCCATGTCTGCACCCATGTCCTTGTCCCCATCCCCACCATGTCCCCACCCACGTCCCACAATGTCACCATCCGTGTGTTAGTTAAATGTCTTTATATTTACCCCAATGTTGGGTGAAGGACAATTAAAGAAAATAAAGGCCAAAATAAAAGCATTTACATGTCCATGCTGGCTGAGTATCCATGTGCTTGGGTGGGTAGAAGTGACCTTTTTTAAGAGGGATTTCCACTCCATTGTCTCCAAAATCCTGGTTTTTTTGCCCCAGTCCATCACCATTTGGCCGTGGAAGATGCTGCTGAGCCAGAGAGAATTAGAATCATGGAATGATTCAGGTTGGAAAAGACCTCCAACACCATTTGGAATTCCTGGATGCCACCCAAAGCAATGATTGGATGCCAAAGGTCAGATTTTTTTGGTGTCAAAAATAAAAAAATTTGCTATCCCCTATGAAATTCTGACATCAGTTTGCATCCCAATGGATTTTTCTCTGGCTGTGTCCAAGTGCCCAAGGGAAGCCAGGAAGATGTGGAGACCATCAGCCAGGTGTCTTCCCAACATGGATCACCAGGACTATGGATGACCAAGTCTCTGCCCAATGATGGTCACTGTGGACCATCCAGTGGGGGTCCTCTAATGGGGGATGGAGTTGAAACAGCGCTCAAAGCTCTTCCTGTCACTGTAGGACACAAAACAACACGAGCGCACACACTGTTGCTCTCAAGGGGAAGAAAAGGAAAGTTTATTTTCTGACTCCAACACCTATAGTTTTCTAAAAGTGACAGTGGATTGGAGGGTGAAAGTGCCACCTCTCCAATGACACTGGACAAACCAACAGTCCATCAAATTTTTCTGCTTCTATAAAAGAATGCAAAACAATAAGTTATTTACAGAAAGTGTATGAGAAAGTTTGCTACAAGAATGTAAACATCAGAAGGCTTAGAAAATCTTAAAAAATCAAGGCGACACTCTTCCTGCACACAGGGCACTTGTAGGGCATCCCTTACTGCTGCCTCCCTTGGTGTTGGGTCACGGCAGAGTTCTGGGAGAAGCTCTTCCCACACTTGGGACACTGTCAGGGCCTCTCCCCAGTGTGGATACGCTGGTGGGTGACAAAGGTGGAGTTTTTCTTAAAGCCCTTCCTGCAGTCAGGGCAGCAGAAGGGCCTCTATTCTGTGTGAATCTGCTGAT